TCTGCTGAGGAGATGGTGCCTGAGATAGAACCCAGGACATAATCACACATGCTGAGCAAGCAGTCTACCTTTGAGCTATACCCTGAACCCCCAGCATTACTCTTTCTGAGAAGCGTCTGAGGAGTAGCATTGAGGTTTAGATCAAGGTAAGCAGTCATGTCAAAACCAAGATGGCCAATCAGGCTGACAGTCTGGGAAGAGAAGCAGCAGTATAGCAATGAAGGATAAAGATTTGAACAGAAAGGATAAAGAGCGTTGAACAGGACTCTCTCCAGCTAGTAGCTAGTAGGCCTGATCCTGCTGTGTGTGCACCCATGTGTGTTGTGGGTGAGAAGAGGAATTCTTTATATGTCTGGAGATTTCTACTCAAAGAAGCAATTGTTTTCTGAATTTTCAGATGTCCCTCCTCCACCAAGTATTTCTGGAAGTCAATGGAGGGAAAAAGAAAGAAAAGACCCTCCTCTTCAGCCATGAGGGAGAAACTTCCATTCTAACACAAAAGCATAGTTGTATTTAGTATTAAAACCAGTTGGTAACTTTTGTAATGACCAATTTCACTAGGGATTAATTTCAGTTTTCTTCTCTCCTTATTCCTTGGCAGTCAAGGCTGATGCTAGAGCACGTTATCACAAAGACCCGTTTGTGCACAAGAATCCAACTCCCAATTCTCAACATGTGCCTAAGCCAGGTGACAGAGTGCTGGGCTTTGTCCCAATGTGTAATAATTGCCTGGTGCCCCTCAGCCTTTCTCTGTAACATGCTAAGCTCAGTTGAAGAAGAGAGAGGACTACCGTTGCTTTCAGCATGCATTAACTTGTTTGGGCCACAAAATTTGAAACAGAAAAGCCATAAAAAAAATGGATAATCAGTAAAACGACGCCACTCTCCCGCTAGCCGCTTGCGCCCTGACTTCAGTGGGAAGCCCCTTCAGCGTGATCCCTTTGTGTTCAAGCATGCCATTTATTCTGAGTGACTCCAGTGTGAATATGACATTACTAATGATCTGCTAAGTGTGTGCAGATGTGGGTTACTCCAGATGTGGTGATTAATAACGTAATGGAGATAGCTGTTTGACTCATGTTTATGAGTTGTTGCCTTTTATTACTTTTCTGAGTTTGTTTGCTTTGAGCTATTTTTTAACCCCAGCCAACAAACCCACCTTCAAATCTAAGAGCTTCATCCTCCACCCCCTCCTAAATCTTATGAAGAAAACAGGGTAGAGGGAAATGCCCTAGGCTGGAGGAGACTGTTGGATTCATCCCACACAGTATCAGACTGCTCAGGCAACCTGAAAATCACAGTCACGCCCATTTCAAGGACCCTTACAAGAGGCATCAGTGAACCCCATCATAATATTTGCAGCTTAGAGAGTAACACAAAGGCAGGGATTTCTTTCTTTTCTTTTTTTTTTTTAATCTAGTAAAATATGTGATCATTTTGAAGTAAGGCCAGGCCCCTGGCCAGTGTTTCTGGAAGATGTTGCTTTGCTCTTGCTTAAAAACAGAATGCTGATGGAAAGTGGAATGAAATGTTGTTACAGATGCTCAGCTCTGCGTTAAGGCTGTTGGAATTACCGCCACATCTTAAATCAATTCCCAGAGCATTGTCTGGAGGTTATGTCACTGAAATAATGAATCCTCTTTAGTCAAGAAAACGCAAACATGTTAAAACATCATTGTAAGTTTAAATTAAACTCCAGCACAAACCAGGGGATCTGAAGCCTCATTAGACCAGCCTGACATTTTTCTAACGCTGACTCTTCTCCCCAAACTGTAAAACTGTTAGATTCAGGGCCTATTATACAAGAGAGCACTGGGAAGTTACAACAGAACATTAAGTGTTATACTTAGGGATGTGCAAAAACAAGCCCTTGAATTTTATGAGGACTCGGAGACTGGAGAGAGTTTGCCTCCTATAAAAATTCCACATTAGATTCCCGAACTTGTTTGTATTTTGAAGAAGCTGGTAACTCAGGCTTCTTTAAAGGAGCATGTCTTCATGCAGCTCACTCCACGCAGAGGCCAGAGAAAATGCTAGGAAGGTATATTGCAATTAGCCAGAAAGCAGGTTCAATGCAAGCCCGTGGGTATGCCTGCTTGCGAGGCAGTGGTTTGCTACTTCAACATGTTTGTCTTTCATGAAAGTGAGTAAATTTCAGTCTCTCCTTTAATCCCATTTTTATTTCTCCCTTGTAGTCATAGAAGCCATGAAACAAGAATCATATCTTAGAGCTCAGGTAGAAGGTTTTCTAGATCTGCTTTTTTTTTTTTTAAATATACAGAAAGTGGTGGAACCCATAGGAAGGATAATAATTAAATATGTTTTATGTCCTACTTAGTAAGGAGAATTTATCCATGTTCCGCTTCTGAGACCTAAGCCATGTGTAATGTTACCCATTACACAGCATTCATATGTTTAAGCTGAGGACATTTTCCATCCCAGCTCTTCAGGGACCAGATTTCCAGGCTCCAAATAAAGCTTTGAACATGGTTCCATTGAAGTGAACAAATCCCAGCTTAAATGCACTATGATTATGATGGATGATCTCTCAGAGTTGCAATGAAAATAAATAGTTGCCTTGCATAGAAGCAGGCATCACACTCCTTCCGCAGTAAGGTGTCTCCCCGGAGCTGGCTAACACATATTAACTTACAGATCTCCCATCTGAAGAGCCGTGGCAGCAAACAGCCGAGGCTAGGTAAACGGAAAAGGGATGCTTAATCCAAGAGGGTATTTTCTTAGAAGCCCAGAGCTAATGGGGAAGGAAAAGTTCAGTAAAGAATTCAGCAGAAAAGCCAATGAAAGTAACTAAGAGAGACTCTTTCCATAATTGGCCACAGCCACGGTAACGTGTGGTTGTCTTGAGGAATGCTGGTGTTTGACTAGGATAGACGAAAGACCTTTTGGGGCATTGCTCTGTAAGCTTATGAAAGAAGAAGAAGAATTTATGCCCCCAATAAACATACTGATGCTCTCAAAAATAACACACTCATTTAAGTAGTGTGTTAACAACTATCCGGGTCTCCCCTGTTGCAGTTTAACAGTGGCCCATATTAAAAGGTGACCTTGGATTATGCAAAGAATCAATGCAAGGCTTCCTTCTCCAGCCTAAGGTGGGGAAACGTAAAAGTCTATTTAGGCATGTGTGTGAGCAAGTACACACACTCATACTTTAGCCTGCTTTGAATTGCTTTGGATGCCTGTCCCCTGTCCTCTGAAAGGAAGATGAATTCAGGTCAAACATAGAGTGCCTGTTTGCTGGCTGAGAGATGCATATCAACTCTAAGTGATTTTTTTTTCAATACCATTTATGTGGCTTGTATTTATTTCTTTAATCTTTTAAGTGCTGCTTAGTCTCAGTGTGATTTGCTGTGGATACTCATTTCTGATAAGACGTGATATCCTCCCAGCCACATAGCCCCAGCCTGGAGCACTAGGTGACTGATAGGGTCTCAGCCTGAGTGGAGCCTAGGGTGGGAGGTGGGGGTGGAGGAGGGAGCAGGTGGCAGGAGGAATGGGTTGTAAGCCTTTGCAGGTCCTTTCTGGCCTTGATTCCATCTGGTATTCCTCTCATCCAGTCACATCATTTCCCCTTGCCTTGGGTCAGTCAGAATGAGGTAACCCCAAACCGACAGTAGGGCAGAGGCGAAGAAGTGTGACATTCTGAAGCAAATCTGGAGGTGAAACCCCTTTGGTGCTGTGTGTCCTCACTGCCCATGTTTCTTTAGGGTTTTCAGAGAGGCGCTCTAGAGAGCATGCCCTGTTATTGGTCATCTGGACAATAGCAAGCAGCTGAGCTTGCTGCCCCCCCCCCAAGCCTCATACATATTAACATATACCAAGCTTCTTTTGATGTTGTCACTACTAATATTTCTCTTCTTAGCTTTAAGGTAACTTCCATGCATTCTGAGTTTCGGGGCTGTTTCCTCCTAGTCATATGACAATCAACTCTGAAACTCCGAGGATCCTCTATTCCCATCTCGACATGGCAGTGTTAGCCTGGACTGTGTGAGGGTGGGAGAGCAGGGCTAGAGTTTTGTTGCACATGTCTTTGGGTGACAGGCTGGGCAAGTATTACCCAGCCGCGCTCTTAGAAAGCAAGCATGGTGCAGGCTAACTCGTCTCCACTGCTTCTTAGTGGGTGTCTCTGGGCAAAAGCAGCAGAGTGCAGTGTGCTGTGTTGTCTGTCAGTAAAGCTTCACATTGCTTAGTGATCTGTGTGGTTCAGACATTTGGAAAGCAAGCTTATGGTTTCCAGGCCCTCTCTGCCGCTCTCCATCCCCCACCCGCCACTGCCTCCTCTGTGGGTGTCATCCTTCAGTGACAGCCTTCTTCATTCCAGTGCTCTTCTCCAGCCCCAAGTACGCTCCCTGCTGGCCGCTGCAAGGAAGAGAGCTGAGCTGGGCTGGTGACTCTTGAGCCCACATGCACTAGGGTTCCCAGCCCTGGGAACCCTGCCAGTGAAACATGGGCAGCTAAGGCCTGGAATCCCTGCCTCTCTTCAAGGCTCTTGCTGTGGGTGCAAGGGTTGGGAACCAGTTATGTTGGTTCATTTGTAGAAGCATCAGGCTGACTGTTAATCCGCTACCTCAAATACAACTCTATTTCTGATTTTGGTTACAAGAAAATTCGTTTGATTATTCAACCAAGCAAAGTATTAATTCCTAACCAAAATTAACTCCTAAAAATAATGATATGTATTTTTATATGTAGATAAAATCACTACTTCTCATTCTTTCTTACACCAGGGCATTTATAGGTTGTTCTAGTCTCTTTACAGTGCATGTTCAAGGGTTGGTGCATAAGGCAGTATTGCTTCACCCTCCTCTCAGCCGGCCTCTCTGACTAACGCATTCCGTCTTTGTTACTGGGCCTCTAAAGGCAGCCCTGACTCTCTAGTGAGTGACTGAGCCTTGAATGTGTGTCCTTTGATATCTTGCCTGTGTTTCGCAGTCTCCCCTCAAACTGTTCATAATCTCACAAGCTGCCTGTATTTGCAGTTGAAGATGAGCAGCCGCCAACGCTGTCACCCAAAAAAAAGCAACGTAATGGGGGTATGAGGAACTCACCCAACTCCTCCCCGAAGCTGATGAGGTAAGCAGATCCCCCAGCATGGTCACCTCCCCAGCTCCATCTCTGGCCTCTCCACCTGCCCAAGCCCAGGCCCAGACCTTCCTCCTCAGTCAGCTCCATGGGGGAGGGGAGAGAGATCGTTAGATGGCTTCGTAAAGGCTGGAGTATTTATTCTGTCAGCTTGACAGCAGTTAATGATAGAGCTGAAAAAATTCTGTCACGAAAAACAGTTTGAAAAGCTGTTTGAAAAATACATAGGCTTTAAAGTCTTAGCTGTCACCATGTCCTGTCTGTGTGTAGTTACTAAACAGCAGTGGCACTAATGACACCGGGAACCAATCAGAGGAACTCTGTGGTTAGTTTGCCTGCGGCAAGACTCTTTCTGCTGGAGTCCCTCTGAGGACTGGTTTCTGTACTTAAGGCCATATGTGAGATGTATCATCACAATCAAAAATGAACCTGAAGATTACCTTCCTTTTATCCTGTCGATGAAAATCAAATTTCTGTTAATTGATTTTGACTGAGAAAAAAAAAGTTTAATAATCCATGGGCTTGCCAATGCAAAGTTCAAAAGTAATCCAGTTCTGCTCAGGTTAAAAGCAATATTAATTATGGAACTGGTTGTGCTACCAACCTTCCTTTTTTTCCTTCCTTCCTTCCTTCCTTCCTTCTTTCCTTCCTTCTTCCATACTTCCTTCCTTTCTCCCTCCTTTTTTTCTTTCCCTCACCTTCCTTTTCCTTCCTTCCTTCCTTCCTTCCTTCCTTCCTTTCTCTCTCAGTCTATCTCTCTTTTCCTTTCTCTTTGAGCATTTCTAAACTATGACATCATCTAATAATTAACAAATTAAAACAGAGTCTCAATACAACTCTACAAGTTCCTGTTTGGGCAAATTCTCATGTCACCTTTGTCTCTTTGATTGTTCCCCAGTCCCATCATCTATTTCCTCAAACCTCTTAACTCTCCCACACTTTCATGAGAAGGAATGATTTCAGGTCCTGGAGATAGTTCGAAGGGTAAAGGCTTTGCTCTACAAACTTAAGACCTGAGTTTGAGACCCATGGTCCACGGGTTCTGGGGGGGAGCCAGGTGCAGAGGCTCATGGGTAATACTAAAACTGGAGAGAAAGAGACAGGTGGTTTCTTGAGGCTTGCTGGCCAGCCACACTGGACTACTTGGTTAGTTGTAAGCCAGAGAACTCTAAGTGAGAGACCTTGTCTCAAAAGAAAAGGTGGATAGTGCCTGAGGAATGAAGTTGTGCTCTGGGGTGTGTGTGTGTGTGTGTGTGTGTGTGTGTGTGTGTGTGTGCGCGCGCGCGCATTCGCATGTGTTCTACAGAGAGGGGGAGGAAAGGGACTGAGATTTCAGAACTGTACTGCTCACCTTCTGGAAATCCCTGCCTTTCTGACATTGCTTTCCTCTTCCATTGCCAAGGACCCCTCTCCTTTAGTTTCCTGACATGCACTTCTCCACCGTGTGCCTGCCTCACCTCTGTCCACCTATCTGAGTCATAGATTGGGACTTGTCTTTCAGGGATGGGGACGTGGATTCCCAGTGGCAGATCCACCTGGCCCTTTCTCTCTCTCTTGTCATGTGTGCCCCTCTCTGCTCCGTGAAAGGCTTCCTTCAGTGTCCTAAGCCTCCTCTGTGCAGCCTTGCTGGGACTCTGCTGATTTACACGCATGTTTACAGTTTACTACGAGAAGGAATAAAACGCACCAGCTGCCAAGCCACTGGGTTTTATGACGCCAGTTGTCAGCCTAGCATTCAAGTCCTATTTACTCACCTTTAGGTAATCGGCTTATCTAATGCTAATAGTTTTCTCCATTTAAAGGAGAGAAAAGCCCAAGTGCTTTCTTTTGCCTAAATTTAGAGAAGCAAATAAATAAATAAAGAGGAATCTGAAAAATGTGAAACCTTGGGAGCCCAATTCCCTGTCCCTGTTTGCTATGTAAAGTATGACTCGTCGCTTTGATCTTGAGCAATAATAATTCTGAGGAGTTACACTGTTTTCATATGCTTCAAAGCTGTGTCAAAGTTTTGCTGCTTAAGGGTACTTCTTTATTCTGTTGGCTCTTGGGTACCAAATGACAGGTCTCCTGTAAGAGGTGGAGGCTTTTTTAAGTCGTAGCCTTCAGCAAAACATCAAATTACCAAATCCAGGGTAACATACTTCTACACAAATGCCTTTCCTGTAGATATATTATAGCATATATATTAAATACTTTAGTGTTACGTGCTACATTTTATGTGCAATAGAAAGTGATGGTTTGAAGTAGCCTTGGGGGGACTTTTTTCCATAAGCAGAGAAAGCTAGTGTATACCATATCAAGTATGGTTTTTACAGGACTTTTTGCCCGAAGGCCTTTGTAAATAAGTAATGATCAACAGATTGGCTGTGGGTTTTTGAAAAGCATGCCCATGTCAGTTTGCATGATGGGGGAGAATTTTCAAAGTGGATCTTGCTTTCATTGCCTGCCTGAGAGGGGCTGAGGGAGACAGCCATCCCAGGCCAGAGCTGTCTTCTTCGTAGTACATCAGAATAGCTAAATGGGGGTCAGGTGGCGAGCCAAAACTTGCCAAGCTACAAAACCCAGGCTTCTTCTGTCGGTGCCTATGGACTGCCCATCCCTCCAAAGTCACCATCATCGGATGCCTTATCTCACCTGTGCAATGGCCTCCATCAGAGCTTCCCTGGGAGAGCCATGCAAGTCAGGACACTCCTCTTTGTCTTTTTTCTCCCAGGTGACATTCTCCAGCTAATTTCAGAGAAGCAGGGACAGGGCCTCTGCTGGGTTCTCCATTTTCCTTCACATCCAGTCTAGCGATAAAGGACCCAGCCACGGGGCCTCCTACTTGGCCTTTGCACTGTCAGTGAGGCCCCTGGTTCCTGTGCTTTCCAGATCCCTGTTGCTGCTGCACACCCAGCTCCTTCCTGCTTCCTCCTATCTCCTCAAACACCCCCTTTTTACTCTTCAGAAGATGGGACTCGCCGGTCCCATTCCTCATGAACCCTCCCCCACCCCAGATCCATAAAGAAGCTAATGACTTAGTTGAAGTGGACTTTCTGGAGTTCCGTGCCTCACTTTTGAGCAGAATCAATCATTGTGAGTATGGGCAGGTTTTAGTGGCCTATGGGTGGTGATACGAGAAACTCAGAGCCCAGAATGGCCTGTGATGGTCTGTAATTTACCACCCTGCGCTTCGACAAATAAAACAGGCCCCTGAGTGAGGACGTCCTCCAAATCATGTGCCAGCAGGAAATGTGGGGACTCTGCACTAATGGCCCCATCTCCCATTTGTTCTGGTGTCAGGCTCACCCTGACGACTCAGTGCCACTTCATTCTCTGTGTGATCATTACCTGAACAGCCTTGTTTTTGTTGTGTGTTTGTGTGTCTGGATTTGGAGGTAGTAGATACTTTAGTCAGCCTGGCAGAGGCAGCCCCATCGCCAGCCCTGGCACTGAGGCTGGATATGCATTGACAGACAATCTTTGACACTGTACCCACTGAGAAGAGAGTCACGGTGTCCCTGAGTCTCTGTCTCTGTCTCTGTCTCTCTCTCTCTCTCTCTCTCTCTCTCTCTCTCTCTCTCTCTCTCCCTTCTTTGCTGGTTTCTTAATCTGGAGTTAGTGGAAGAACGTCTCCCAGTCTCTACGCAGACACCACACCTGCTGCCTAGTTCTCCCTCCCCAGTGGATCTCTGCTTTGGCGTGTAACTATGTCTCTCCTCAGCCGTAAGTCCCCACAGGGCAAGAATTTGATGAAAGCTGTCTAGAAAGTTAGGAAAGCAAGTTCCAATCTGCTGCCCGCCGTGTGATGAGCGGTTAAAGCGAACTGACGTGAATCTAACCTCCCTGTGCTCCCTGCCCAGGAATCTCAAAGCGAATCACCCTGAGTTTGTCCACAGCCATATTGGAGGGTTTGTTTTCTCAAGTGCTTTCTCAGATGATGACAATCTGTACCTGGGCTCTCACACGTGTTCTGAAATGGAATCCCAGATGGCTGTGCGTGCCTCAGGTGCCGGTTCACAAAACAGATTAACTCTCATTGCACAGATGTTCCCTGAGGGCTTACTGTGTTGCACATGTTGTGGGAAGTCGTTGAGAGATCTCAAGTATGGTGTGGTAGAGGGGAATCCAGTCTTCAAAGTGAGACAGGGAAGCCCACACTGCACAGTCGAGTAAGGGTTTATAGCGCCTGTGAACATGGAAATGCTGCTGTCCTTCTGAGCGGCTGTGGCTGATTTGTGAAGGAGGTCCCATTTGCCATCGTTATAGGAGAGTCTCTACTGATGTCGCTACCACCTCTGGCTCATGGTTGCCTGAGCATTATTTCCAGAGTGTTGTGCATGTAAACTCATTGATAACTGGAGCTCTCTTAGCAAGTGTATGTTCCCCATATGACAAATGAAGAAGCTTGGGCATAGAGAGGTGAAGTCCATCACATCTGGGGAAGTCTCACATCTTAGAAAAATGGAGGAAAGAGTTGTTGCCCTTAGACCATTGTACATGGCATATTATGATGACACTGAAGGGTCCGTGGAGTAACATCACTGGAGTTGAAAATGTGTATCTATTCTAGCTTCCCAGTCACAGAGGATCTTGCCTGTTGTAAGCATCAGGAAACTCTTGCAGGTTTTGGAGGCACTGGTACCCTAAGTTGGGTGTGGAAGGATCATTGTTAATGGCATGAGGGTGGCCATGGAGTCCCCCATCAGGACCTTTCTGCACTTGTAAATGTGGAGATGTGTAGGAGGGAGCCCACCCAACCTCAGCCTCTGTCATGGTTTTCTGAGTACCAAGGTCTCAGTTTAGGTCACGTGGTATTTCTGACATCAGTTTTGCAATCTGAGCAAGGCAGAGAAGCATAAAAATGAAATGAAGATTTCTGTGGGATGTGTCAGGCAGACAATTAATACAGAGATATCTCTTGCCCAGGCTAGCACAGATAATTAATGATGCCCCAAACAGAGACATTGAGCTCTTAGAAGAACACTTCACGTCGTGAGACCCGGAAGCAT